CGCGCCGCCCTCGGAGCCGTGCGTCGTGCTGGTGCGGGCTCCGGCTTCTCGCCCCGCCGCGGGGACTGACCAGCGCCCCAGAACGTCGTCGCCCACCCTGCGGGGCTCTCACCCGGTCTGTGCCCCGGCCGAGATAACTGAGGCCGGAAAGGGAAGTGATCTCCCGAGACGAGTGTTTCACCGTCTCACTGGCGTGCGTCTTCTGTGAGAATGTTCTATGACTTCTTTCTCCAGCACAGGGAAATCTAGCTCTCCTTGGGCACAGAGTAGAAGCATTCCTTCTCTCCAAGCCAAGAGACCTCCTATTCGGAATTCCGGGTTGGCTCATGGTAGCAAATCACTTTCCGTAACAACAGAAACTTTCCACCCGCGCTCCCTGAGGCTCGGACGCGCTCAGGTGCTGCGGTCAGTCGGAGCTGGTAGCCGCTCTGCCGCGGGACCAGGGTGCAAAAAAAGCGACCGGAACTCTCGAGGGTTTTGAGAAAGAGAAGCAAGACACACTTGCTGAAGAGTACTGATGGGACAGTAGGCAAATCGTAACTTCCTAATAGTCTTGTTCAGTGTTTCCTTTAAAACGTTTGGTTAAAGATGGACAAGGGGCACACACCTGTAATCACAGCCTTCAGGGAGGCTGAGGCAGGAGGATCAGAAGGTCAAGCCCCGCCAGGCAATTTATGAACCTAGAGAACCTTGTCTCAAAATGAATGCTAAAAAGGGGTAGGGAAGGAGCTCAGTGCAGAAGCCCTGGTTTAGTTCCTAGGACTGAAGAAAAGGTGTATAGCACTTTGTCTATTTCCATAGGTGTACCGTTGTCATCTTTAAACTAGAAAATCTTTTTGAATACTGAAATAGATTTTTATCAATTGCCGTTCAACTTGTGGGTAAAAGTATGATAATTAAAGTTGACTTGAAATTTTGTTATATCCAAACAGGAATGACTGTGATAAATACGTTTCTCGTATTCAAAAAAATCATAAAAGTAATGGTGGCATGGTCTGGGGCAACATTAAGAAAAGAAAAGTAAGTATTTTTATTCTTACCTATCAAATCTTACCTGTAGAGCAATATAATATATGATAAATTGTGATAAATACAAGTGATGCCCTCCAGGGACTTAGATGGAATTCACGGGTATGAATGAGATAAGTGTAAAAATGCTGTAGGGTTAGAGATGGCAGCGCATAGACTGAGCATTGAAGCGGGGTAAGAATGGTAAAAAGTTTCCATTTCAAAGTGAGGTTAGGTAGAAAAATGCAGATGGGGGCAGGGCATTTCAAGCAATATACAGCACCTGTTCACTGGGTAATCATCCGTCCACACTAATGGAGTCATACATTTTCACAGAATGAACTCTCATCAGATCCCCTGCATCTTTAAAATAATTTTTTTTTTTGGTCTTTTTGAGACAGGGTCTCGCTATGCAGTTCAGGCTGGCCTCGAGCTCACTTTGTAGCCCAGGCTGGTCTCAAACTCTTAACGATCCTCCTGCCTCAGCCTCCCGAGTGCTGGGATTTACAGGCGTGCACCACCATGCCCAGCTAAAATAATTTCAAATGTGTTGTTTGTTTTGAGACAAAGTCTCACTCTGTAGTTCAAGCTGGACTTAAACTTTATGTAGCCCAGGCTGGCCTGGAACTCAGAGAGTCTCCTGATTATCAGCATGCACTGCCACCCTCAACTTCAAATATTTTTTTAGACTCAACTACTTAATGTTTTTTAACATTCCAGTATTTAAAATAAAATCTTAAAAATTTTAACTCAAAAGTTGCCTTAAGAATGATCTATAGCTCCTTGGGGGGAAAAAAAAGGTTAAAATCCTTTATCTCCTTGGATTTCTTCTTAAATATAAACTTTCTAACTTTAATTTGAACAACTGATAGCCAGACATAATTACTAAGTTTCTAGGAAAGGTGATTCACCTCAAATTTCCACAAAGTAAATAGCCAACGCTGGAGTATGGTCATTTATAGAAGTGGTTTGGGGACTCCTTTGTCCTCTGAAAGTATTCTTCAGACTCTGCTAAGGCCAGCCTTCCCTGTCATATGCACTCTGAAATACACCACAGACTGACCAAAGTGCAGTTCCTCTCAAGAGTCTGTAAATACTGGGACTACAGAATCACACCCGTCTCCGTGGACTTCATTTGTACATGGGAAATATGATTTAAAATTAGTCTGGGCACTCAGTCTTTAATGAAATCAGACAGCCCCCTCACTGGTCTTTAAGATCCATTTATCCTTTCCCACATTCCTTAAGGAAAATGAAGTCTTGGTATTTTGGAAAGAACCTGGAATCAACAATGCAACAGGGGCTGGGGATGTAGCTCAGAGGCATAGCACCTGCCTGGCAAGCGCAAGATGCTGAGTTCAGTTCCCAGTACCAAAAAAAAAAAAAAAAGAATAGAAGAAAACAATGCAATGGGAGTCCTAAAGATTTGGCTTCTAGCCAGTTTTGCCAGCAAAATGGGCTGCTCTGACAAGTGCCCTCCTCCAGTGTTTCTCAAACATAAATGTGCATAGAAGCCACATGAAAATCTTGTTACATGCCAGATCCTGAACATTTCCTTTGAGCGCCAGTTGATCCACAGACCACAGTGACTGGCAAAGGTATAACATATTTAGTCTGTGTTCTCTGCAAAATGAGAAGAGGCTGATAGCGATTTATCTATAAAGTTCTCCCTAGCCAGGCCTGGTGGCGCACATCGGTAATCCCAACACTCGGGAGGCTGAGGCAGTAGGATTGCCGGGGGTTCAAGGCTATCCTGAACTACACAGCAAGACCCTGTCTCAAAAAAACAAAACAAAAAGTCCTTCCTAGCTAGACATGGTAGCCCACTCCTGTAATCCCAGCACTGTGGGGGGATCGCCATCCTAAGCAGCTTAGCGAGTCTCTGTCTCAAAACAAAAAATTTGAAAAGGTTGGGGATGTAGCTCATTGTGAAAGCCATGGGTTCCATCTCGAGTAAAGGAACCAAAATAAAAATGGTCCTTCCTTTTAAGAACTTTAATTTGTTTCTGGAACCATCTTAGTTCCTTTTTAAAAATGTATTTTTATTGGTACATGGTTATAGTACGCATCAACTCCATTGATGGTGGGGAGCTGGTACATGTATCTAACACATCTGAATTCTTTTTATGTCCCCTTTTCTTCCCCTTACAGGGTTATAAGTTGAGCTTTCTACCAAACTATAACACCATTATAATTTAGTAACACTTTTTTCATAGCCTAATATTTTGCAGCCAATAATTTAGGAGGGAGAGAGCAATGAACTCATTGTTAAAAGTGCTCACTTCAGCGTTTGACTCTTCGGGGTTTGAAACCCACGCTAGCTTACACTGAGGAAGCTGCCTGTGCTAATTTTATTTTTTTCATATTGTTTGACAAGAGGGATCGTGATACTTGTTTACATTATTGAATTATTTTAATGGTATGTTTACCTCTTCTCACATTTCTATCACTATGTGCATGAATTTTTATCCCCAGGTTTCTCACAAACAGTACTTATACTTAGAATATAAGAGGTATACTAAAGGAAAAAATATGGCCAATACTTTGAAAAGCACTGATGTAATGTATATGAGAATGCACTTGAAACTTGCCATATGTTATTACCGTTTTAGCCAAGAATTTGCAGTACAGGGCATTTTCCTTATACTGTGTTATCATACACTTTTTTTTTTTTTTTTTGGTACCGAGAATCAAACTCAGGACTTTGCGCTTGCCAGGCAGGTGCTGTGCCGCTGAGCTACATCCCCAGCCCCTATACTGTGTTTTCTAAATGTGGTGTCTTTTGTTTCTCCCTACACCCAGTTATCTTAATTATGCTAAAAAGTATGTTTGAAAGCCAGGCGTGGTGGCGCACACCTGTAATCCCAGCACTCGGGAGGCTGAGGCAGGAGGATCATTGCAAGTTCGAGACCAGCCTGGGCTACAAAGTGAGCGCAAGGCCAGCCTGAACTGCATAGCGAGACCCTGTCTCAGAAAAAATAAAAAGTTTGTATTTTTAGTTAAGTTTACTAGCCCAGGATAATAATTATTTAAATAAGTACTTCCTACAATTGGGAGCTTTAGAGGCTATAGCCTTTTCTCACTGGAGCATCAGTTTATAAATACTTCTTTATAGGACTGTTTGCCAACAGTGCAAAACAGTATTTACTAAGTCAAGGTGTTCGCCCTGGATAAACTCAAGAGAGCTGGGCATTTGACAGATAACAATGAATAGTGTTGTGGGCATACATTAAAGTATCTGGAGAAAGCACACTTCATTCTCTAGATTTGTCGCGGTATCACTGGAAATACTATTTACTGTTAGCACTAATATGAACTCTTTTGTAGGTTGACACTGTTTGTTCAAGCCCAGCATCAAGAAAAACACTGTTTAACAGAGGTAAAGTCTTTTTTCTTTTGTAGCATGCTTTTCCTATGGGATAACCTCTTTACATAGATGGGCCTCAAATTGTTGGCTCCGTGTTCAACAGACCTACTATTTAGTTCCTCAGAGCTGTTGTCAGTTTCTTTCATATTACTTGGACATATACTAATCCTTTTTATTAAACTCCTTTTTACAGATTTAGTAGAAAACTCTGGTATTGGAAAACTTTTCACTGATGCTATAGAATCTTTAGATGAAGAAGAGAAAGATTATTATTTTTCAAACTCTGATTAGACAAAGAAGAGAAAGATCATTATTTTTCAAACTCTTGATTCTGCATAGAAAAATGTGATTTCCAGGACTTTTACAAAAAGCACATGGTGTATTTGTATCTACTTTAGAAAATACTTATGTATTTTCTTTATGATGTAGGTTCATATGAAAATGTGGATTCCTTTATCAAAGCTTTTATGTTTGTTTGCATGCAAAATATTCATTGCTGCAGCTTACCAAACATGTAAGGAAAACTGTTTCGTGTGACTATTTGTAAACATGGTTTATAATATTAAAATATATATAGTTAACTCTTACAAGTATCTAAGTCTGTTTGCTTTAATAAAGTCATGTCCTAAATAAATTTTTAAATTTAAAAAAAAATGTTGCTACTGTAAGGGACATAGGGAATGAAGGAAGGTCGGGTTGGTCGCTACTGCATTCGTGAAAACTTAGCTTTGTCACCCCCAAGTATTAAAGCCATATTTGATCTAATGTTTAAATTACGTACTGTTGAAACTGACATGCTTCTCTCTTGATTGTTTTTCTTGAAATTTGTGATTGGGCTATCAAAATTATGTAAATTTAATCTGTTACTTCAATAGTTTATTAAATAGAACCAGAGAACAGATTTCTGTTGCATTTGGTAGCCTTTTACATATATGAACATAGTTTAAATTTGGTCTCAATAGTAAAACAGTTAGGCCAGGCATGGTGGTATACACCTGTAATCACAAGTCTGAGGCCAGCCTGGGCTACATAGTGAGTTCAAGGCCAATCTGAACTACGGAAGTGAGACCCTGTCTTAAAAGTCTAAAAATACAAAAAAAGATTAGACATTCAGTTAATAGATTCACTATTATAAGGAATCAAGTTAATGTTATAGTAAATGCCCTTTTTCTTTCACTGAGAGCTCCTTTACAAATAAACTTTTAGCTTATTCTACCAATTATGTTTTTAAAATTTGACATAAAATATTCTCTCTCTGGTTCTAGTACATATTCATCTACCCTCTCTCTCTAGTTAGATTGTTCAAATAAAGTTAGTTTGCTTTTATAGGATTTGTTTCTGGGTTGTTTTTTTTTT